ATATGTGAAGAGATGTAGAGAATATAATTATATTGTTCTTAAACTATTGCTACATCCTTATACTTAGCCTTTTGACTGGTTTCTCCTTGAAGTTCCTATTTGGAGTTTCTAGTTTAGAAGGTTATGCGTGTCATTATAGGCTAATGATCTATTACTTCATTTCTTCATTAACCGATTTGGTTAATTTTGCAGATTATCTTTTGCCGATTATTGTGTCATTGATTCTTGCAGATCAATTCACATGATGATTATTTGCAGATCACTTTACTGCGTCACATTTCTAATTTTCTGAAGATCATTTGGGTTACACCATGAATATGATTATGCTATTTCTCATAATTCAATAATTATGTTAGGTAACTTTAATTAGAGAATACTCTAAAAAATATAATCATGATAAAAGCATAATAAAAACTTAAGTGTTAATGAAATAAATTAAATACAATTAAATCTCTATATAACAAAACTACTGTTTTAAGAAAAATGTATCAGTATATCAAGTTATTGGTATATTACAAAAATTTTATGTATTGATATTATTATATTATATTGATCAATATCAGATCGATATAAAATAATGCTAATCAGATTTCAATAATAAATATTTTATGAAAAATATTAATTTTAAAATTTAATAAATCAATTATTAATTTTAAAATTTAATAAATCAATTATTAATTTTAAAATATTAATATACTATATCATTTAAAATTTTATTCTTTTTCTAATGAATATTTAAATATAACAAATGAAAAAAAATTGAGTAACTTTTATTAAAGACAAAAGTATCTTTGAATTTTATGAAAACTGTGTAAAAAAATAATATTTTACCACCACCTTCTTTATTATATAGTTTTTTTTGTTTGCTTTAACAAATGCATTCTTTTTTTATTTAAAATATCCTTATTAATCATCACGTATTGTGATCATGTATAATAACTATACAAATATTGTTATTTTTATTGTTACTATTATGCTTATATTTATTATTATAAATTATATTACAAATTAAAAATTAATGCTAATGTTACCTAAAATTATCGTTACATTTTACTATATGTTAATTATAAAGGAACAAAGAAAAATATCAGTATATGTTACATTATTAGCATTTTATCACAGTTATAATAATATTAATAAACACTTCCAATCAATAAACATATTCTTATCATTATTTCATAATAATCTTCATTTTTATTGTTTACTACAAGTCGATAAAAGTTATTCATGTGTGATTTATTTTAATAAATGAAATAACACTTTTATAATATATTAATTACTACTTAAATAATGATTAAATTTTTAAATTAGAATTCAGATATGAAATTGATGAAAGTCAATTTCAGTTACAATGCCGGCCGATTTTTGTTTGTATGCTATTTAATAATAAATCATTTGTTTATTATCCGTTATGAATAAATAAGTGATAAATTATATTAAATTATTTTTTGAATAAATTTCTTAATGAAATAAAGATGCAAAATTTGATATACGCAATTTAAAATTCACAATTTTTCTCGCATTTTTTTTCAAAAAAATCAATTATGCAATAATTATATTTAGAATGTTCTAGCAAATTATACAACGAGCCAGCAAGTTCTCACGATTCCCATTTATAAAAAGCGCCAGTTTTAATAATAACTTGATCAACGACTTTCATCAATAATTCGATTCTTTCGCATTACTTTTGTTTTCACACGCGAGAACCTCATTGCACTTTTTTGTTATATCTTTAAGGATTTGAAATATTTTATTATTATTCACGTAACCTTCTATAACTAAGCATTAAAATAATATTTTAATAGCCTTCTTATAATTTACAAGAAAAGACATGGGCAAAGACTATTATAAAATTCTTGGTGTTGATAAAAGCGCTGACGACGATACACTTAAGAAGGCCTATCGAAAATTAGGTAGGTTTGATATATAAATAAATATATATATATAGTCATTATAAATTTTTTTTATACATTATTATTATTTTTTTTATTAAAAAAAAACCAATGCTCAATATTATTAGCATTAAAATGGCATCCGGACAGACATCAAAGTGAAAACGAGAAAGAGAGCGCAGAAATAAAGTTTAAGGAAATTAGTGAGGCTTACGAAGTTCTTAGTGATAAAAATAAGCGACAAATCTATGATACGTATGGCGAAGAAGGTTTGAAAGGAGGACCACCACCACCTGAAGGCGGAGGTGCTGGTTTTGCAGGAGGATTTCCTGGAGGTTTCAATTTTCCCAGTGGCGGGACGACATTCACGTTTTCTCGTAAGTAAATTCAAATTCTTTTTTTATTAACATTACATTTAAAGATGAATAAATTCTCAATTCTTCTTTTATTTTAGGTGGAGGTTTTAATCCATCAGATCCTAATACTATCTTTAGTCAATTCTTTCAAAGCTTTGGTGATAAAGATGATGATTTTACGAGTGCATTTCCCGGTGGTTTTCGTGGATTTGGCTCGAGGAGTAAAAGCAGTAATATTTCGGGTGATTTTGGTGATTTTGGTGATATCTTTAATAGACAACGTGGATCAGAAAGTGGAGTGGTAGAAGTTAAACATAAGCTACCGCTAAGTCTTGAAGAGATATACAAAGGAACTACCAAGAAACTTAAAGTTAAGCGGAAGCTTATTGATAGCCCTTCTGGTAAAGTAGTCCAAACCGATAAGATCTTGGATATAACTGTTAGACCAGGAATGAAAGGTGGATCAAAATTTAAATTTCCAAAGTCTGGAGATGAATTGCCGAACGGTGAAACACAAGACGTTGTAGTTACTTTGGAAGAAAAACCACACCCAATTTATACACGTGATGGGGACAATTTACTTATGACTTTAACTATTAGTTTACTTGAAGCACTTGTAGGATTTAAAAAGACTATCCAAACATTGGATGGTAGGAACTTGGCTATCACAAATAATAGTGTTATTAGACCAGGTCAAGAACAAAGGTTTGGTAACGAGGGAATGCCCACAAAGGATCCAAATAAAAAAGGTGATCTTGTGGTGAAATATAACGTTTTGTTTCCTGCCAAGTTGTCAGATGCACAAAAAAGAGAACTTTCAAACATTTTACGAGATTAGATATATTTTTTTAATGTACTTGAAAAAGAGTAACATAAGAACTTTTAAAGATTTGAAATTGATTACGTTAATTTTTACCCAAAGAAAGAGAAAGATTTTAATAATAATGTATTATGTTAAATTCTTATTATTATTATTATTATTATTTTATTTCAATCTATGTTATTGTAAACTATTAGACTCTTTTCAAAGTATATATTATCTCTTCTTTACAGAGTCGATTTCGAAAACTCGATCAAATTTACAATTTAATAGATATGTTTGGTATAATTAAATGCATTCTCAACTCTTTCAAAGATCATAATAATAGAGATCCCCAACCGGCAAGCATCATCAACCCCCCAATGGGAGTGACAATACCTAAAAATTTAAATGTATTCTTATCCAAAACTAACAAATAAATAGATCCACTAAACATAAGAACTCCGGTCAACATCAAACTACTAGCAAATGTAACATGTCTTCCTGTCGCTGGATGACTTACATTTGAAAGTGTTAGTAATGCTATTGAATGTATCATTTGATAATTTGTCGCTGTTTGCCAATTCTATTGAAAAAAAATTATGTTTTTGTAAAGGTAAAAGATATAAATAACCTCACTTGACCAAAACCTTTGCATTACCTTGATTTTTGTTTGATCCATTGTACGTTTTTGGAGACCATGTGCACCTATTTTAATAATATTGACAAATTAAAACATTACATGATAACAAATTCTCTTTGTATGCGACCCTTACCATATGAACCTAAAGCAATTCCCGAAGAACCTATAAAAGTTTTTTTTTTTTTAAAAAAAAAAAAAAAAGCAATTAATTCAAACAAGTTATTATTAAGTTATTACCTAAAATAGCTGCAGCTCTCCAAAAAAAAAGTGGGGAAAACATCATTTACCAAACAAAAAAGTTGATAAAACCCAACGGAAACAAATTTTTTTTTATATAAATACACTAAATTTTTTGTGTTCAGCTTGTAGATCATCAAAGACGTGTCGGATTTTCAAAATCCATTCTACCGTATTCAACAAATGTTCTCTACTTGCACAACTCGATCCCCTTTTTCATTGTTAGCAGTGAAAAAGATCAGACATATTGCTTCGAATCGAGGTTTTGCAACTTCCATACAACTCTACAACTTCCTATTGGCTTTTTAAATTACCGTTTGTAAAACCTTTTTTTTTTTTTTTTTTTTTTATTATTATAGGAGCTCTTCAGCAAGGAAAATTTAACGATGCGCCGTTACCTACTTTCCGATCATGTATTGTATTCGATCCGAACAATTCATTATCAATCCTTTATTGTTTAGAACTAATTTCTTTGGAATTTAGACGGAACTACTTCAAACAAAATTGCAAAGTATCAACCAATTTTGAAAAAATCATCGATTTCTATTACGGATCGATCGATGTCAAAAAAGGTACCACCACCACATGCTCCACAACAAATGAAAACAAAGCACGGAAATAATTTTAAATCACTTGCAGTTTATCTATACAATTTATATTATACACATCTTCATTTCAATAGGTTGGTTTTTATAGTTCAACATAATAATCTCAATGTACAAGAACAAATTGTACTTCGAGATGAATTGAAAAGAAAGGGAGCGATCCTTACAGCAGTACGTGGAAGCATATTTGGATCCGTCGTACGTCAATCTATATACAGTAATTTATTACCTCTGGTGGTTGGACCAACTTGTTTGATAGGATCAAATGTTGGCGATGAAGAAAATCCAAGATTAGTTGCTGATATTCTTAACATTATTATTAATAATAAAAAGTTAGTATTGGTTGGTGGTAAAATGGATAGATCTTTATTGGATTTGGAAGGATTTCAACGGGTTGCTAAATTACCGGGATTGAAACATCTTCAAAGTGAGCTCATTGGATTGTTAAATTCGCCCGGTTCAAAAGTTGTTGAATTGTTGAATCGAAATGCTCAAGATTTGGTTTTCACCCTTGAAGCTCACAAGAACAATTTAGGTGGACCAAATTCAGGGGAAAAGTGAATAAGAAAAATATTTGAAAAGCAAAAAAAAAGAAATATATATATTAAATAATTTATTATTATTATTACTATTAATTGACTGTATTGTACAAAATTTATAATGTCTATCTATCATTTATTATGCCATAAGAAATTCTTAATGGAATTCCAATAATCGGAGTCTAAATACAAATATTGCATAGAAGCTTGCAGGGAAGGTTGTAAGCTATCACGATCGTGACGGAAAAGCCACATAACAATACCCCAAACCACAGCTGCAAATATTGGAAATGTGTGCTTCGGTTCATCCATCGCTTTACGAGTGACAGGTAACTTGGCTAGTCCCACCATAATCCGCGCAAACACATAAAGCACGATCTATATTATTATTATTATTATTATTATTATTATTATTATTTTAATAAAAAAGGTTGAAAAAAATTTTTTTTTTGGTTAAATTTGAAGACGAATGAATTTACAATGTAAAATAATATACATATGTATATCATAAAGACAGAATTACCTGCTGATTGACATTGTTGTTTTCACCAAAAACATAATAACCACCAATTAAACCGGCCATGAATGAATGACCATTTTGTTCTTTACCAACCATCTTTCTTTGTAGATACATCAAAGTTTTGTATATCGTAACAAATTTAGCCAGATTTGCTGAATGCGTTTTTGTGGCATCAAAAATGAAATATAACTTGTCCTTAAAACTACAAATTTTAGAAAAAGGAATAAAGTTATTAACGTATTCAAAAGACCCTTTTTTTTTTTAAAAAAAAAAAAAGTTACCTTCCAGTACGAAATAAAAATGTCATGACAAAAGCATGAGGTAATCTTATCTTTGCACCATAGACGGCACCATTACGAAACCCCTTGACAATAGATAAAATGTCATGATATTCTGGGTTATTAATAAATGTTGTAATAGAGTCCAACATAATTTTTTGGTGAAAAGAGATTAACTTCAAATTACAGATATTATAAATGAAAAGAGCGTTTTGACTCCTGAACAACAAGGAAAGATGAAAAAAAAATTTTTTTTCGGTAATTCACAAAAATGCTTTTAGACTCGCTTGAAATGCACTTATGTCGAACAAATCAATATGAATGAAAGAAAAAATTTATTGCCAATTAATTAAACTGATGGATATGTTGTGCAACCTGATAAATTGTATATGGTGTCAATTCGGTAGATCATCATTTGGCGTTTTTAAGATCTCTAGAATTTTTTTGTGGGGTTTTTTTATTAAACTAAAAAATTTAATGTTCTTTACATCATGAATATTCTTTTAAAAAATAGCGTGATTGCTATACATAGAAGATTGAAATACTATAATATATAAAACTATAATCGACCTTAAAGTGTACTTAGGAATAACGTTGTCTACTTAATTTTTTGGATTTTTTTTTAATTCAATTTTTCATCGCGTAGAATCTGTGAATCATTGCACAAGTACCATAATTCTCGAATTCATTTTCGATTTTTTTCAACAATTTGTCGATTTCAATATCCTTCTCACATTGGATACCGGAAGGAGAAGAGGATGAAGATGAAGAAGAAGCAGAAGAAGAATCTCTAATGCTCGACATCCTTCTAATATTTTCGGAGTTATGATTTCTCCTAATGTTATTAATTAAACTATTTCTTCTTACATTACTATTATTTAAGATTAGTTTTAATTCATGACCTATGGAATTTAATATTAATCTATAAGATTCCAACATAAAAGTTGTAAATGATTGAGTTAATTTATCATCGGATAACCTTGAACTAATTGTAATTTCTCGGTGTTCATGATAAATGTCGGAAGAAATGTTCGGAGTTGAAGGTAGATGATGAGCGTGTAATGATGTTATTTCCGGATTGACTCCACGTGATTGCAATTTCTTTCGGACTGTGAATCGGAAACGATGGAATTAGCAAACCAACAATTTTCCGAATTAAATCAAAAAAGATTTCGTTTAACACTTACATAAGTTATTTATGCGTTCGGTAATAGGACCTTCATGACGGAGATTTAATTCTGGATCAGATATTTCAATCCATCCACCAACTTTGCAAACTCTCACTAATTCAGAATACATAAATTGTTCCCATTGTGTTTGACTTAGGTCAAATATCATGAAACGAATATGTATAAAATCAAACGTCGCATCAGGGAAAGGAAGGCCACTAAGGAAATCGTGATGTATAAATTGAACATTAAATGGTTTCGTTGTCGGGAATAAAGGAAGAGTGTCTATTCCTATGTAGCGAGAGGTTGGATAATCCGACGACATCTCACATATCCACGTTCCAGAACCACATCCCACGTCCAACACTTTGGCACCACTCGTTAATAACGGCTTTATCGGAGAAGAGAAATTTCCACCCCACACTTCTCTAAGTACACAATGACCCAAATGTATGATTTCATCAACCGTGCCCAAATTATTTTTGTCAAAAAATAATTCTCTATAATTATTATTCGTAAAAGTTTTATTATTAGTATTTCGATTGGTTTTACTATTAATTTTTGATTGAATTGTGCCCATAATATATATATTTACAAAGAACTAAAAACTTCTAAATGTTTTATTTTTAGTGTTGCTTTTTTTTTTCTCTTTTTTTTTTTTTATGATGATTTTTTTTTATTGATGTTATTTAATAAATGAACGTAATCGAAAGAAGAAGGCTAGTTAAGTATAAAAAGAAAAGAAAAGAAAAAAAGAAGGAAAGTTATTATTATTGCATCGTCTCTTTAATATCTGTCAAAGGAGGAAACAAGAGGGTGGGCGTACTAAAAGGAAAAAAAAAAATTTTTTTTTTCCTAAATCCAGTTATAATAAAGACTATTTATTTGATTATTTTGGGTACGTATTCACCCGATTCTAATTGGTGTTTTTGAATAATTATTGTTATTTCTGATCCGGAAATAACATCGGAGAAAAAAATTTTGGCTCTGTGGAAACAGTTGCAGAGCACCAATTACATTCAACCAATCTAACCAAAAATAATTATTCAAGGGAAGGAGATGATTATAAATAATCTTGGCGAGAACCATTGTTTAGTAAAATGATGTACCAAAATGATGTCAAGAGATGATCCAAGCGTAGGTAATGGCGCAGTTCAAACCTTTTTTTGTTCCCTTTGTTTAATAGTATTTCATCTCCCGAGATAGACGTCAAAAAAAAACAAACTGTCATTGATTCTCATGAAGAGATATTCGGAAGATCCAAATCATGCAAATAAAATAAAATAAAAATAAAAATAAATTAACCAGATGTTCGTTAAATTCCAAACATCCAATAAAAACCTAATGCTATTTTCAGATCATATTTAAATCCATTAGAATATTGGCTGAATTTAGTTTTCGGAAAAAAATTTAAACCCTAATATCTATCTATAATAAAGAACTCTCACATATTCGGCAATTTCCAAAAAAAAAAACCTCCTTAATTTGTTTCCACAATCATACTTGTTTCAAAGTTAATTGTTGTTATGTATTCTAAATTTCGTAAATTATTGACACGTGTTAAAGTTTTTTTTTTGCAACAAGATATCATACGATTACAATAAAAATGCAATTACAGATTATCCATGGATCGAGATGAAAACGTATCCTAACCAGATTCGCCTTGAAAAAAAGGATGTTAGGCGTAATGGCAAAAAAAAACAACTACCTAATTTACTAAATCCATAATACTAGCCAGCACTTTATTATTTCTGTTTTAGGAATAAAAAGAGAAAATTTCCATTTTTAAATATGATTGACGTTATTCTTTAGAAAAAAAATCATCATTTTTTTTTATTAGGATTAAAAGTCCATATTTATTATGTTTATTTGTTATGAATTTTTTTACCTCAAAAGTTATTCCGTGTTTAAAAGTCAATAATGTTAAGAATGTTACCAAATAATTAGTAAAATCAAAAACGTAACAATCAAATGCACAAAATTCATTGCACAAATTCAAGAAATTTATATTCGACAAAAGAGTCGTTGATGATTGGTTAATCTATACCGAATCAATTTTTTAAAATAAATTGATTTCACGTCACGTATCCATTCAAATCCTTGGACGCTTAATCATTAAAGTAAGTTTCTTTCGTTTATTACGTTACCTCTTTTGCAAAATCTGTTAAAGAATTTGTTCGAAACCTATGCGTTTAACTTATCGTTAGTTATACGCCGTAAGGCCGGACATAGAATAAACTTAAACTTCTTTACCAAACTTTTCTTTTGTTTGCAAGCATTAGATTTGTTATGGTCTAGATGAGATCTCTTTTTTGTTCAGGTTTCTTAGATTTGAAACTTTGACAAAGGCGGAGACCAACAATCATTTGAATGTAAAAAATTTAATACATTAACTAATTTATCTTTTATTTAATTAAATTTAGATTGGTTCCAATTTATTACGTATGTAATCGTGATTCTTTTTTTTTTCCTTTACTCACGCTTTGGCAAGAACTTTATGAGTTAGTTTTACTCTTTAAAGTGGAATACAAAAAGCAAGATCAAAATATCGTTTTTTTTTGATGGTAATTTTACTATCTAAAAACCCGGCTGAGATATCTTAGTACTGATATCTTTGTGAGGATAGACGTTAACATTCATGACATTCAATTTTAATGATTAATCGTTTTCAATGACTTGTTTTTTTCTTACATTTTATTTTATGATATTAGAAAGTAAAATCTTCGGTAATCTTGAATTAACCATCTAACAAAATTGATGATGGAACTTATTTAATTCAACCCCAAAAGGTTTCTCGCGTTCTAGATTATCAACAAAATTCAAAGATCCCAACACACAGATTTATGCATACGGAACCAGTGTACTGTATTATCCTACTTTTAATTCGGTTCCATCATTTTTTTTACTATCGATCGTTCTAGATTTCTAATCGTTGGATCTTTAATCTCAATAATTTTTTTTTACGCGATTGCCATCTCCTTATATTTTGACAAAAAAATCCCTCACTCATCAAACGCCATCGCTACATTTTTCTTTCAAAATCGTGTCCACCTATTGTCAAAACACATAGTCCATTCGAAATGGTATCATTTTATTGTAATGGATTAAGTGGGAATATTTTTAGAGAACGCGGATCTGATGGAAGGGTCATTTTTGTCATGTGATGTGGAGCAGTTTTTGGATTTGACGGAAAGATAGATTTTTATGTGGACAAGTTATATTGGGAAATAGATCTCGAGAGATGGTAATGAGATAAAATTAATTTGGTCCTATATAAAGAGATTGTTACATATGCAAAGATTATGATGCATTTAAGATAGAGTTTGGGTAAAGTAACTGTTTTTGGGATTAGTTTATCCTTCAACCAGATCAATTGATGAAAATATTAGATACTTTGAACATTTCTTTGACGTAAAATTCATTTGACATAAAATAAAATTCGAATTCATTAATTTCAATCACTATTTTGATTATATAAAACATATTGTAAAAACCCGATGTGGGCAAACTTTATTATTGTTTTTTATACGAAATGAGTGAAATACAGTATGTCATATCATTTCATTGCTAACATCGAAAAATTTCTATAGCTAATTTATTTCTATCAATCTAGGACCGGATATAGTATATCACGTGAAATGATGTTGAGTATAACCCTAATCTACCAGCATTAACGTTAATTCATGACTTATCACACAATATTTATCACATGGTTGATAATTATATCAAAAATGCAGACCTTCCTGATTTAGAAATTCAACACGATCAAAAAAATATAAAAAGTTTTAATAAGCATTTTTTCAGCAACCCAGTCTCTTACATAAAATTCTTTCTATTTCAAAAAAAAAAAAAAAAAAAAAAAAGAGTTCTTCTCTCCAAACGCCAAGGCCTGTTCCTTTTTATCGGATTTTTCCTTAAAGTAAGTATTTCCTCGTTCTACAATATAATGACGATGTCAAACTGTCTTAATGACTAGAATATTTCAACTGGACTGCATGTCTTTACATGTTTTACTTGTTTGGAGGTTCAATGATGTCGTATGGATCGT